GAAAAAAATCTGCGTATAAGTGGACCAGGCAGTTTAAACTTGTCTTATTCTAGGATCAACTGTATTTAAAATGTTTCAAATTGTTTTAAAAAATGAAAATTATTAAATCCTATTTTTTATGTTTAGCTTGAATCTCAACTAGAGAATAAAGAACAACAATTTAAAGAACAAGAAAAGACTATATCCATGTTGCAGCAAGATATAATATGTAAACAACATCATCTTGAATCACTAGACAGACTCCTGACAGAAAGCAAAGGGGTAAAATCATCTTTATAAAAATGCTGTCGAAAAACTGACCAATATTTTAAGTTTATGTTTCTTTGACATGCTTTTAATTCTAATCAAATCGTTTGTTTAACAACACGTTACTAATGCTGAAATAGTTATACATATACAAATATTTTTGCTACCATTCTGTATGTTCTCAGGAAATGGAAAAGGAAAATATGAAGAAAGATGAAGCTTTGAAAGCATTACAGAACCAAGTATCTGAAGAAACAATCAAGGCTAGTATACTTATGCTTAAAATTTTTATTTTACTTTATTTTTTTGTTAATGGAGACATTCCTGGGCTTTTTCAATTTTCTCTATAACTTGTCAAAATCATTTACATAAAAATAAATTAACTGGTAAAATCTTTACCTAACTTGGTTCCTTTAAGTAGTATATTTTTCCAGTGTGAATGTGTCTTAATTATTTGATAGTTGATAATCTAGTTTGTAGATTATCTAACATCTTTTCTTTTTGCCTTAAGGAAGGCTTGTGTTTTAATAAAAAAAAAATTTTTTTAACTGTAGCTTTTTACTGATGTTACCAGTAAAGAATTAACAGAGGAAATGATGAGAGATGAAACTACAAACAGTCTGGTTTTGCTTCTTTTTACCCGTTCTGCTATACAATTAAGTAGGGAATAAATCCAGAATTTCTGAGTGAAATACAGTTTGTGGCTAGTATATTCTTATGGTTAAAAGTGTGGGCTTTGAAGCTAAACTGACTTGGATTTCAGTTCTGGCTTCAGAGTGGTTGCTAACTGACCATAACCTTTGCCAGTTTATTTAAGCTCTCTGAACTTTAATTTCTTCTTGTGTAAAGGAAGGATAACAATGCCTTTGAAGAGGGTGGGTTTGAGGATTAAATGAAATGAGGTACATAAAATGCTTATTAACACTAAGTTACTGAAAATTTACTAAGTAGTTACTATACATACATTATTTTTTCATTTGAATTTTTAGTGTTAAAAATAATTTCATTCTGTGACCTTCATTTTGTCATATATGGATTAAACATAAAGAATATTTTTAAAATCTGTTATTTATTTTTGCCTAGTACTCTGTTTTTAATCCATTTTGTGACCATGTATACCCATATAAACCCAGTTATGTGTTTATCTGTAACTTTCCTATAGTATTCTCCAAAACTTTTAACATTTAATGCCATGACAATTCATTTCCTCTTAAAAATAACCTCTAAGATCATTACTATTTTAAAAAATCATTATTCTACAAAGGTTGTAGGCATGAAATAATTTAATTAAATAAAATCCATATTACTACTTAACTGCTGTTTTTCATTAAATTACCTGACACATCTACCTAGTCATCTGGTAAGTTATTTCCATATGTTAATAATCACATATGAGATAGGAAGGAGTACAGCTAAAGAATGAATTATGATATTTGGTTTTATTCCTTTGATTCTTTTAATAGATTTGTTTTTATTGGGGAAAAAGTCAAAATGAGGAAGAAATATAGAAGCAAAGTTCCTATGACTCAGGCTGTACTTAATGATTCAAACATATCAGATATTTGTAAGAACAAAATAGAAGTTTGAAATCTAGGCCTCTTCTTGATTGTGTCATTACCCCTTTTCTTTCCTGACTTTTGGCCATATCCCTTTGCATGCCTCAGATTGTTCTTTGCATAAAAAAATATGAATTTTCTATCTGCAGGAGAGTTATAAGGATCAGTTTAAAGTTATGTAACTTCTAAAAGTATGATTAAAGAGAGCTGAAAGATTGATAGGAAAGTTCTGAACAGGTAACAAAAGAAACCCAGTAAATTAAAGCAATTATGTTACCTGCTATTAAATAGAAAATTGAGAAGGTGCTTATTAGATAGAGATTTATTTTATTTTGTTTTGCTTTGCTTTTACTTCCACTCTAGATTTTTGTTTTGTTTTTGTTTTTTCTTCCCAAAGAAAGTCGTAAGTGGAAAAAAATTAATAAAAGAGACTGGCTTGGGTACTTTTGTTGAAAATAGGTAGCCTAAAGCCCCTACCTGGTTGCCCCTAGAATGTGCCCCAGATGAGGTTCTTTGGTTCAGCAGAGCAGTTTCTTTGTTTTGATTTCATTCATTCATGTATGTGTATATATATATATATATATACACACACATGTATATTTATAAGTGATTTTATTCATATAATATTCAGACCCTTAAGCTCTTTGTTGAAATAAGAAATCCAAGAGTAGTAGATGTTTTGGCATTTATTAATTATTTATTAGTTTTAATGAATTTATTTTAATTAAATTTTATTTTGAAAATTTTCAGACCTACAGAAAAATTGGAAGAATAGTACAGAGGACATCTGTGTACCATTCACCTAGATTCGCTGACTTAATTCTAGCCATACTCACTTCATCTTTTTCTGCACACGTATGCACAGACCCTCTAGTGCGTGCACCCACCCAGTCCCAGCCCTGCTCACACATTTCCTTTTTGCTAGTCCACCTGAGAGATTGCAGATGTCGTAATACTTTGTACCCTTACTACTTAAACTTGCATCTCCTATGAACAGAAACTTTCTCCTACCTGATTATACAACCTCTGTACACCAGAGAAAGTGAGCATTACTTTAGTAACATCATTCAACACATAGTCCGTACTGAAATTTTCCAAATTATTAAAAAATGTTCTTAATAATTTTGCTATTCAAAACATGGTCTATGGACTAGCATCACCTGGGAGCTTGTTTGACTTGCAGAATATCACATCTACTGAACAGAGCTGGGACTAAGGACTCAAGTGAAGCAAGGGAGGTGCCTCTGCCCCAAAATTTAAGGAGGTATTTACTCTCAGGGTTGTACAGGTGAGGGTTGGCACTTACATGATCCTGAAAGTAAGTACTTCCTTAAATTTTGAGCCCTAGACACCTTCTTGCCTTACCGTAGTCCTGGCTCTGATACTGAATCAGAATCTGTATTTCATTGGAGGTATCCAGGTGATTTGTATGCATGTCAGAACCTTGAGAAACACTACTTAAGCTTGTTCCTTTTCTTTCCCCATTTTAGGATTCAGTTGTAATTCACGTTTTGTATTTAACTTTTTAGATTCTCCTGAACTCACTGTCTCCTGTTCTTCATGACACTGAATCTTTCGAAAAGTCTAGGTCAACCATAATACCGCATATATACCACAGACACAGACCTACACAGCAGGTTACTGTGTTCTTCCCATTGTTTCACATCAGGAGGCACATGATATCAAACCACCCTATTATTGGCATTGTCAATCTTGACACCTTATTTAAGGTGGTTCACTGCCAGATTGCACCATTTTAAGGGCAAAATTTTACCTTTATAATTGGTAAGTAATATGTAGGGTAATTCTTTGAGGCCATGTTGCAAGTCCTGTTCCTCAACAACATTATGATCAGTGGTTTTAACATCTAGTGATGAATCTTGCCTGGATGACTTTTTTCCATTGTTAATTATCAGGCATAGATTTTATATTTTTTTCTGTGTATCAAAGATGTTACAAGTACCAGTGCTCATTCTCATGCTTAAGAAAGAAAACTTGCAAATACTTATACTTTTCATAGAACAATTTAAAAATTATTAGGGCAACAGTTTATTAATAAAGATAATTATTCAGAATTACAAACTTTTTAGCTGTTAATGGGTATATTCATAGGATACAGGGACAGTCTTTGAAACTGTGTGTCTTTCAAGATTCTCTTTTTGGAAATAAGATTTCCAAATTCATAATAATTTCATGATGTAGAATAATATCTGCAAGAGGGAACTTTTTTTTTCTTTTTGTTGAAATTTCTTTCACACTTTCATGTCTCCTTACTAGAATGCTATTAGCATTGAGGGGGAAAAAACATTCCTGTTAAACTCAAAATTACCATAAGGAAAAGGAGGGAACAAGATAAGAATTTTATTAACAGATGGGATATGGATCATGTATGCAAATTTTGAAAAAAAATTTACTGCAATTTGGGTTGCTCTTTTGTCCTTTGAAGTTAAGGTTAGTGTGAAGCATTTGCAGCTGTATGAACACTTGAACCAAGTTACCACCACTGCCTTTCTGAAAATGTTTTCACTGATTCAAAGCAAAAGCAGCCTTCTCTGAAATAAGGCTTTTTCCCCTAGCTGACAAAAACATTTCTTTTTGAGGGTGGGAGGAAGCACGAATTCCTCACAGAAGGCACGGACCCCTTGAGCAGTTGAGGGCAAGGGCATGAACCTTGGCTACAAGGAGCTGGGCTGAGAGTTCCACGCTCCCAGGCTGAAACAGGCCTTCAGGAACCCAGGCTAGAGCCTGAAAGTTCCAGGTGGGCACTGTTACCACCATCTCGGCATTCTTTCCCAAACCTGCCTGCCCCTCCCCTTGGTCAGCATTTCATTTTCTTAGTGACTTCAGCATATTTAGAATATTCACACCATAGCATTGTTAGCACAATACATCAGTTTGTACTTTTATTATATTTCTTGATCAAGGGAACTTAAGGAATAGGTTTAAATAACTTCTTACCTTTTTAGGTAAATGCTTGAAGGTGTGTGACCTATGGGACAGTTAGCCCCACTCTATCTTGCCAATCTCATCTCCTCAGTACACATCTCTTATAAATTTGTGCTTTGGTACCCTAAACTCCTGCCAACTTCTTACCATTTCTTTTCACAGTGCCTTGTCTCTGAATGTACTTCCCTCTTCCTGGAATGCCCTTCTTCACTTGTTCTTGTTTATTCTTCATGATGGTAGTCTCTGGTTTCCTAGTTTTCAATAATAATTAGTTTTCTAAATAAATCTCTTCTGTGAAAAGCATTTTGTATCCTAAGTTGGACAGCATATTTACTGTTTGAAGCAATGAGATAACAATAGGAGATAACTTTGTAAAATATTGAGCATATAACAAGCACTCATTAGTATTAGCTGATTTTCCTTTTTTTTCCTTTTTTTCCTGCATAGGTCAAACAACTAGACTCAGCATTGGAAATTTGTAAGGAGGAACTTGCTTTGCATTTAAACCAGTTGGAAGGAAATAAGGAAAAGTTTGAAAAACAACTAAAGAAGAAATCTGAAGAGGTAAATTAACGTTTCTTTTACATATAGCGTATTTTTCAAGTGATTTCTTTTTGAGATATTTATTTTCAACATACTTTATTTATTTATTTTAATGCAGGTATTGGGGATTGAACCCAGGACCTCGTGCATGCCAAGCACACACTCTACCACTAAGCTATACCCTCCCCCTGCAAGATACTTTATGTAGCTAATATAAAAAAATCCTTCCAGTAAAATGTAAATTCCAATTTTATATTCTTTAATAAACAGACATTATATGACATGTAAAACACAAAATATGACACTTTAAAATTCTCATTCTTGTATCTATTTTTAGGGAATCAGGAGATTAAATTACTATTGATCACACAATAATCCTAATATAAAATGATTAACACTTTGAGCGTTGTTTTAGATTTAGAGGTTATAAAATTCTTCAAATTTTTTTTCTTCTATTTGTCTGAAGGATTGAGAATTAGGTTTAGAAATTCAACTTTCTTTATTAATATGAATATTTTAGACACTAGATAGAAGACTTTTCTTGAATTATCATATTTATCTCTATATCCTCAATGTCAGCCACTGCTTTCAACAGAATAGGTTGTCACTATTTGCTCAGAGGGATAATCTTAGTGAAGAATTCCTTTATTTCTATTTAGATTTTATAATATATGTATTTAAACCTTAAATTCATGTTTAGAAATAGTTCCCAACAAATCTTCATTAAAGTTGACTTGAATGTATCAGAAAAAATCCAACCAGAAAAACAGAAATCCTTATATATCTTTAAAATGGAGGGAATTTTTATACTGAGAATTAGAAACAAGAGATGGAAGGGCAGAGATGCTGAGGTGACTCAGATCAGAGATTATCATGAGCAGTGACCCCTACTATCCTTAGGGATGGAGGAACATCAGGAAGAGAGGATGTGACTCTGAGCCAGAAGTAGGGCTGCCCCATGGAGTTAGGGCCACAGAGAAGGAGTCTGTCTGGTGGAAACTGGGGCCATAGAGGGGAGAACTGCTGCTATTGCCCCCCTGCCAGTGGCCAAACCTAGCTACCATCCAGGGGGCAGTTTCCTGCAATACACAGAGTAGAGCAAGGGAAAAGTAGAGATACACCTAGAGCAAATAGTAGTTGGCTAGCACTCCAGAGTTAGGTACATCACATAATTATGTAACTTAAGAGGTTAAAAAAAAGAAATCTTTGTATTTTATATGATTCTGTCCTTTTCCTTCTACCTCCCTTCATGAATGTTTTTGTAGCATCTTTGACAAATGGGCATATATTTCTTATATGGAAATTAAACCACCTAAACTATAGTTACTTTTACTTTTTACAAAAAGAATGTCTTTTTTTTTAAAACCATGATCTTCTTTAAAACATTACTTAAGAGAAAAAAAAAGAACATGGGCCAAAAACATTGTAAGTGAACTATACTTGAAAAAGAAAAAAGAATATGGGAGGGAGAAGAACATGGGTTTATTTCCTGATCACACTTCCTGTCCATAACCTGGCAGGTTGGGGTTCCCCAAACAAACAAACAAGCAAACAGATCCTCACACATTGCTTAGGCATTTATTCTATAGCCCTCACTGCACTGCAGCATAAATGGACTTGGCAGAAAGGAAATCTGGAGACAGGCCATGTTTGTAATAATGGAATGTGTTGAGCTTTAGAATTTGTGTTCTTAGAAATAGCGTCAGATAAAACAAAGGCCATAAAGAAAGATAAAGAAGGGCACTATATAATGATCGAAGGAGCAATATGAGATGAGGATATGACACTCATTAACATATATGCACCCAATATGGCAGCACCGAAATATATAGAACAAATACTAACAGACATAAAGGGAGGAGTTGATGGGAACACAACAGTGGGAGCCTTTAACAGCTCACTAACATCGTTAGGTCTTCCAGACAGAAGATCAATAAGGCAATGGAGATGACTCAGTAGGACAGTTGAACTTCATTGATATTTTTAGGACACAAAAAACAATATACATTCTTTTCAAGTGCTCATCGAACATTCTCTAGGATAGACCACACATTCAGGCACAAAAGATGCCTCAACAAATTTAAGAGAATAGAAATTATTTCAGGCATCTTTTCTGACCACAGTGTCATGATACTAGAAATCAACCACAGAAAAGGAAATGAGAAGAAAATGACTGCATGGAGACTGAACAACATGCTACTGAAAAACCAGGAGCTAGTAGAAAAACAAAGAAAACAGGTGTTACAGATACAGATTTGCCCTAAAGAAATTATTTTCATACAGACAAAATTAAGTCAAATAGATTAGCATAAAAAGAGGATTATAATAATATTAGAAATTGCTTAGTTGCCTATTATATCTTACATTCTCCAAGTTTACAGTGTCATCATGCAGTGAAGAAGTTTGAAATTTATGAGTTTCTTATCATACCCAAAAAATATTTGGCCCCTAAGCCTTTCATAATGCTGCTGAATTGTTCGACTGCTGGATAATTAGAAAAAAAAAACCAAGTCAAGATTCTCCTTTGCTATTTCTTAGGAGTTTAAAATTACTTTTTTCTGGAGTGATATTTATTAGAAAGATTGTTTGCTTTAAAGGAATGGATTTATTTTCTTTCATTTTAAAAGTAGTTATTACATAAACACCAGTAAGAAATCTTTTAAAGAAGATTTACTTATAATCTACTCTCTATTACCAATTCTCTCTAATATTTTTCACTTTGTATTTGCCTGAATGTTTTTCATAATTAATGAAATGTGGTTCTGTTTTTTTCCCACTTCAATTTATTTTGTAAAATTTTATATTTGCTACTGTCTTTTAAATTATGGTTTTAAATTGATGCATCTTTTAAAATGTAATTTATAGATCATCATTTAGTAAACCTTGCCCTTACTTTAGGGAGCAGGTGAAGAGTAGTATAAAATATACATTAAATTATGCTTCATTATTTTAAAATAATTTGGCAATTTTTAGAATTTGGATTACTTTGACAGAGGGCTTTTTTCCCCCTTCTTAGTAGATTATTCCAGATAACTGTAAAGGTATCATTTAACACAGTTTTGGGGACCAGCATATTCAAGTCCTATATATTTAGAGTGAATGAATGCAGTTTCTTAGTTGGTATTGTTATTCCTTTATGTGATTTTTTTGGAGAATGAATATTCAAGAGTTCTTTGCTGGGATATTATTTTACAAACAACAGCAATAATAGCAACAATAATTTACTAAATAGCACCTAACATTCATGCAGTGTTTTTATGGCTATAGTTTATTATCAGTAAGGGGAAAGGTGTATCAGATGGAGTGTGGAGAAATCCATGGCTTCCTGTGTTTTCTCCCTTCTTCTGAGAGAAGTCACATAGAATATACTCCTTTCTGTGGCAGTGAAATATGGCAACATGTGTGCAGTACTTTCTGCCTAGGGAAGCCTGCTTATGACTCAGAGTTCAAGGTTTTTTACTGTGGCTGGTCACATAGGGACAGCCATAAGTATCAAAATTCCAAACTCCCGGAAGGAAAGCATGATTCAGTGCCCCAGCCAGGGAAAACAATCTCATTGCTTGGGGAATGTTTCAAAAGCCACATTCCCAGACAAGCCAAGAGCCAGCCCTATTAGCAGGCCCTTCTAACATATCTTCCTGTCAGAAAAATGAGCTCCCCCTTCCACATAATAAATGATAGCTTTGGGTACAATGTCCCTCATGACAAGTGGAAATAATTATCCAATAAGGTAGACAACATTGACATTTTATTGCTTTTTATTTGAAACATGTCATAATGAGAACTGTATATATTTCTTAGGTATATTGTTTACAGAAGGAGCTGAAGATTAAAAATCACAGTCTTCAAGAGACTACTGAGCAAAATGTTATTCTGCAGCATACTCTTCACCAGCAGCAGCAGATGTTACAACAAGAGACAATTAGAAATGGAGAGCTAGAAGACACTCAGACTAAACTTGAGAAACAGGTCTGTATTATTGGTCAAAATGGTTTTATGAAACAACAGTTCACAAAATTGATAATAGATTTTTTTTTGCTAGCTATATAAACTGCCATTTAACCTCAAAGATATCATAAACATTCTAAATTAACATGGTAAAATTAGTAGTTTTATTCCTATGTAATGTGTCCATGTAAATAATACCACAGGCACATTTTTGTCACTCCATACAATTTAGTTACAATTTAGTCTTCATCATTCAGTTTCTCCCTCCTCTTTGGACCTGAATATAATACCTATCTGAATCATTATAGCTTCCAATAGAATCGTTATAACTTCCAATTTCCTCTTTTTGGATCAGAACACGTGTGATAATCCCTAAAGAAACGCCAAGCAATGCGCTAAAAGAAAAATCCCAAAGGAAACTACTCATTTTTAAAAATGAGTTATTACTCCAAAGAAATAGTCCTAGGAAATTTTGTACTAGAATCAGTTTTTCTCTTTCATTCATTACCAGATTTATCTGAATTCTACTGACAGATATTTTACATTTTTTGTTTTGTTTTTCTTATCAAAGTTTACAGAAAAGTATAAATTAGAAAATGATAGTTCCTTGTAATCTCACTACATCCCATCTTTTTGTCATTTGTATGACTTTTAATCTGTGTGTTCTAAATTCATCCTCAGCCTCTCCACGGGAACTAAAGAATCTCCTCTCTGTGCATTCAGACATATCAGGTGGTATTCCCTGTTTCCTTTCTCAGAGACATCTATCCTGTGACTCTCCATCTGTTTTGTTCAAGTCTAGACCTCCTGTTTGCTATACCTGATGTACAGCTTCATCCTGAAGTATTTCTTCATCTCATCTGTGGTTTTTTTCTTTCTTTCTTTTTATTGAGTTATAGTCAGTTTACAATGTTGTGTCAATTTCTGGTGTACAGCACAGTTTTTCAGTCATACATGAGTATACATATATTCATTTTCGTATTCTTTTTCACTGTGAGCTACTACAAAATCTTGACTGTTTTCCTGTGCTATACAGTATACACTTGTTTATATATTCTTTATATACTTATCAGTATCTATAAATCTCGAACTCCCAGTCTGTCCCTACCCACCCTCCTCCCTGCTGGCAACCACAAGTTTGTATTCTATGTCTCTGAGTCTGTTTCTGTTTTGTATTTAAGTTCATTTGTCTTCTGTTTTGGTTTTTTTTTTTAGATTCCACATATGAGTTATCATACGGTATTTTTCTTTCCCTTTCTGGCTGACTTCACTTAGAATGGCATTCTCCAAGGACATCCATGTTGCTGCAAATGGCATTGTGTTGTCATCTTATGGCTGAATAGTATTCCATTGTATAAATATACCACAGCTTCTTTATCCAGTCATCTGTCGGTGGACATTTGGGTCGTTTCCATGTCTTGGCTATTATATCATCTGTGTTTGATTTCCACTTTCTAAATCCCTCATGGTTGACTCTGGTTTTTGTAGGATTGATTAGAATTTTTGTTCTTTCTAAAATTGTTTTCATTTCTGTAATGGTTTTATGGTTTTCTCCTGGGGTTTTTTCCTTAAATCTACCAGTTCATTTATATTTTTCACTTGGTAACTTTATTTCTTCATGATCTTTGTTTTAAGAAATTTTTATATTGTCTCTGATTTCTTTGAGAGTCTAAAGAAGTTTATATCTAAAAATTCCTTAAGTATTTGGCATAAATTTTCCAGTATATATATTTTTTCTACTTTTTATTCATGTTCCACTATGCACATGTTTAATGTTGAATTCTTTCAGACTACTACTTATCTTTAGATTTTTTCTGCTCATGAATGTGCCATTTAATCAAGCACAGAGTGGGTAGATTTTCCATGGTTCCCATCCCTTTTTACCTGGGTACTATTTTAACTTTATACTTGGAACTTGAGTTGGACGTGTGAATATTAATGACTTATAATCTGTACCTCGTTCTTCAGTAATAGGTTTTAGAAAAGCAGGGAGAATATTAAAATCATTAGCCAGATATTAACTTTGAGATCATAGTCATGTAAATGGTCATGGAAAACACGGAGTGACTGAGGTTAACTAAGAAGAGAATATAGAATGAGGGATAAGATGATTGACTTCAACAGAGCTCTGAGTGGTGCAGTGTATGGAAGCCAAAGTACTTTATGAATAAGGGATGATAGTTGGTGTCATGGTTTGCTGCAATCAGTGTCAAGGAAATTGAGGGTTGAGAAATGCCCATTGGAATTAGCAACACGGAAGTCACTGGTGACATAGTGTAGTTTCTATAGAGTGGCCAGAGTGCTGTGGGCTGAGGAATGAATGAGAAGTGAGAGGAATGGCACATCAAGCATAGACAACTCTGAGAAATTGGGCTATAAAGAGGAGGAAAGAAAGGGTGGTAGTTGGAGGGATGTAGAGGTATAAAGGGAAGTTTTTTTTTATCATGGGAAGGCTTTGAACATGTTTAACTGCTAATAGAAAGAAACCAGTAGAGAGACTGAAGATACAGCAGAAAGCAGAGAGAGTCAGTAGTATGATGTTCCTAAGAAGATGGATAGGAATTGAATCTAAAACACTTATGAAGCAATTTGGCTTATATAGGAGGAAAAAACACCTCCTTCAATGTAGTAAAACAGAAGGAAGAAAGAATAGGAACAAATAGATGCAAATTGTAATGCCTGAGGGCGGATGGAAATCCTTCCCTGAATGAATCAATTTGTGAAGAAAGAAAGGAACATAATTTGACAAAAGAAGAAAGAACATTTCAATTGAGGATAATGAAAAGGGGAACACTTTACCATTATTTTGTATGATTCTTAGAAGTCCTGTTTTAGTGTATGTGGTCACTTCTATATGTATGAAGTATCTTTATTATGAAAAATGAAGTTCTGCTTTCATATTTCCAAAATGTTGCTTCTTGGTCTATACTTTGATTTTTGTAAAATATTTCGAAACTGAATGATAGGCTAGGCTACAGATTTATATAAATATTTTTCTTCTGAAGAACATTGAGCTGTGTCTGAATTTAAAATACTTACTGAAAATTGCTTTACAAGGTATCAAAACTGGAACAAGAGCTTCAAAAACAAAGGGAAAATTCAGCTGAAAAGTTGAGAAAAATGGAGGAGAAATGTGAAGCAGCCACATATGAAGCAGATTTGAAAAGGCAAAAAGTTATTGAGCTTACTGGTACTGCCAGGTAAAATGAATATGTTAGTTTTTATTTACCTTCCTGCTTCAACATCAATAGTATTTTTAGTATCAGATAATACTCAGTGAAGCATTTGCTTGAGGAATTAATTTCCCCACGGTCTGTGTCCCTATAGCATTTTGTTTGCACCTCCCTCATGTCCCTCATTATGCCTTTTGTATTACAGTTTAATAGCCTTAACCCTCCTATACTGCAAGTTCCTTAAGGCCAAGATAATATGTAGTTTATTTTAAGGTCCTCTCACAACAGTTAGCATAGATTCTCATCCCTCACAGGCACTCAGCAACTGTTGTATTAAATTAAATTGTGAATAATATTAAAAGTTGCAAGCAAAGATGTACTCAGAGGAAATTTTCTATGAGAGGGAGTAACTTAACAGAAGAAAACAGTGGTTCTCAACATTGACTGAACATTAGAATCACCTGAGGAGCTTTGAAAAGTACTGATGCTGAGGTCCCACCTCTGATGATTTAATATGACTGGGCTGGGCCTGGGAACTGTGAGCTGAAAGCTGTGTGTAGCTTCCCCAGGCCTCTTCTACTTTGTGGACAAGATTGACATAATTAATAATACATTCTTAATTAGCCCACCGTTCTACCAACAGGAATCAAGAGTTAACTTATACATTTGAGCTCAAACCACAGCATTTGAAGACTCCCTCTCACCTTCTGACAGCAGTAAAGATAAGGCTTCCTGCTTTGAGTAGCATCTTGCTTCCCCAGATGTCCTCCACTCTCTCAGTGGGGTCAAGAGGATAGCCTTTGTTTCTGACTAAGGCCACAGCTCTTTAGCCCTTCTTACTTCTATTGACATTTGTCTGTCCACTGACAGCCTCACCAACAGTGTGTACCTTAATTGCACAAAGACTTAATCACATTATAACTTCATCCTTGCTTGTGCCAGGCACCACAGAAGCATTAGATATCCAGGCATTAGATTTACTCTCATCTCATACTAAGTCCCCAAAACCTCTTCATGGATCTTCTTCTTCCCTTCTCCCACCCCGTGAAAGTTTCTGAAGGATTTTCACTGTAGCCTCTGGCATTCACAGTCCGTCCTGAGAGACATCCCCAGTATTCTCTCTCTCTCCTTTTCTCTTGCTGTGACAGAAATCTGACTCTCCTCTTAGGACATTGCTTCCTCCCCTGCAGCCCTCTTAAATGAGAACTTCTCCCCACAGTTCTTGGATCACAGGGCTGTGGTGTGGAATAGTGTAACAGATACTGTGAGCCTCACGTCGTCGGATCGTATCCCCCTTCACTGTTGCTGACACCTGCAGGCCGCCTGACTTACTTTAGCTCCCTTCAATACTACTGTCATTATTCTTGGGGATTTCAGTATACATTTATCTGGCTGATTGTCTGGGACTCACTAACATAATTTGCTGTAGATCTTGTCATTTCCAGTATATCCAGTATTTTAATATAATCTGAATACTATGCATCTACCCCTATATTATTACCTCATTCCCTTTAATACCCCAAATTCAACAATTCTTTGATCTAGCTAGGAACTCTCATCAGTCAATTCCACCATTGTCTCACTTCCTAATGTCCTTTCTCCTCTCTATTTACCCAGCTTAAATTCTAGTTAGTCTTTAAAGTCACTGATTTGCATATACCCACAACTCCCTTCCCTCTCTCTTGCTTTATGGTACACAAAACTAAAAGTCCAACTCAGACCAATTTATGCCTGCATCTTTACAGAGTTAAAATCTGTTATATATCTCCTTGAATCTATTTTAAAATTAAGATATCTCCAGATACAAAGAGAGAGAAGTAATTCATTGAGCACCTTCTATGTGCCAAGCAGTGTTCTAGGTGAACACCTCCTCTCAATCTCCAAATGCATCCCTAGGATATGGGCTTTACTATCCTGGTTTTCAAAATAAGGAAGCTGAAACTCAAGCTAGGGTATGGGATGTACAATTTGGATATGCTCTAAAACCAAGTTTTTTTCTGTTATGCAACTATGAATAGGTTCTTCTGGTACTACATGTAAATGTCACTGCAAGTGAGTGACCCAGACCCTGGTTCCTCAGTGCTGAGCCCCATGAAACACGTGTTAGATTGCTGAAACTGCCTCCATAACTGTTTTAAAATCTTTTTTACATTTGAAGAAGCCAGTCTCAGCTTCCATATTCTGAAAGTTTAGTATTAATTTACATAATCCTTCCTTTGATCCTGTTTCCAAACTCAGACTTGATTGCCCTCAGTAACTCTGCAACAAAAAGGTGAAGTATTTCTGGAAAAACTGGTGGGTTTAAAGCCTGTCAGGAAAATTTGAAAATTACGGGAAAACTTTTAGCATTGGATTATTTATACAATTGTTAAAGGTTTTCAAGCCCTTAAATATTTATTATAGTCTGTGAATCCCTCACTTACCTAGCTTCAGGAAAGAATGAGTAGTTAACTCCTAAGTCAAGAAGGAAGAGTGGAATTTATCTTTACCAAGTACTGAAACCTTAAAGCAAAACAAAAAACTTTATGGTAGAAATTTCTACCAAAACAAAAAAAAAATTTTGAGGTATCAGTGGTTTTGGACGGGGATCTTGCACAGACAGCAGGCAGGACATGGCGAGCGTCTTCCTGCTTGGGGGAGGGAAAGAGGAGGTGACTGTTTATGAGGGGAACTGGCAGCAGATTGACTCACCGGTTACCAGGGAAAGCATGTAGACAGCTGTGCATTTTGAATTCTTGTATTTTGAAAAATGATTTCCTCCCCATTTCTTTGCTGACAGTCAGCTCTTGGTACTGTATGTCAGCCTGTTTTTATTGTTCTTTTCTAATTCGGTTTTACATCTACTCGAGTATAAGAAAAGAATTAGGCTAAAAATCATTTACCTGGGATTTCAGAGATGTAGAAGAGTCATTAGCACTTGTCTAATCTAATAGTTTTTAGCTTTGTTGGGTCATGGACATATTTAAGGATATGATAAAAAGCTGTGGATTATTTTCTGTATATAGACATACATATGCATACATAATTTTGCATATTGTTTCAGGAGTTTTGTAGTCTTCCTCACGTTCACTCATGGACATCAGATTAGAACATCAGAGTTCAAAAGAACGGTAACAGTGACAAAATGCTGATGCAGAGGAGCATCACCTCTGCCTACCGTTGAGGATGTTAGCAACTGCTGAATTAGTGACTGTCACTTCGGATTGACTAATAAATGGACTTAAAACTTCCTCTCACTATGTTGATGAGTCTATAGGCAGAGAAGCTTCCATGTTGGAATAATTCAAGACTAACTAAAACTTAGTAAACCTGACCCTCTCACTGTTATAATTATTTGTATGTAACCTTCCAGTTTCCTCATCTGTAAAAGCAAGAAAATTGCAATAGTGTGCGAATCTCTGGTCCCTTTAAAGTTATAAAAGGTAACATTAATAATAAAGGTCTGAGTGAAAGTAACTGTGACTTGGCTCTCTTGACCACTGACTTGGCCAAGTCATACTACTCGTGCTATGAATAGTGTGGTGTTTGTGCTGAATATTTTGATTGGCTTCTTCATTTTCTGTGTTGCAGGTACCAGAAAATACAGATGACTGAGGCACCTGCCTGTGGATGTCCTCAGTACATTCAAAGTTTTATAAAAGTTAACTGTAATTAGATTGAAAAGAATGCTAGCATTGCTAAATGTTATCAGGTAGTACAGTGTATGTAATTGGTGCAGAATTACAAATCTTTTAGTAGAGCATTTTTAACAATACAATAGGTGATTTAAGGTTCTGACTAGACGTTTTGCTATTATTTGTCTGTATATAACTTGCAGATTTTGTTCAGTGAGAGATAAGTCAGTTGATTTTTGTTTCCTAATTATTATTTATTACTTATTTTCTGTTTTTAATTAGGCAAGTAAAACTTGAGATGGATCAGTACAAAGAAGAGCTGTGTAAAATGGAAAAGGAAATAATGCACCTAAAACGGGATGGAGAAAATAAAGCAATGCATCTCTCTCAGTTAGACATGATATTAGAGCAGACAAAGACCGAACTAGATAAGAAAACAAATGCTGGTAAGCAACAGGTTAGATGAGCATAGCTGCCTCCAGATGTGTATTTAAAGAAATGGAATAAAGTGAGAATTTGAGATGAGGGGGAAGGGACAATCCGTATTATTCTGCCTCTTGTAGATGAATAAAATTGGATATTCATAACTATAATTATTTATAAAGTTCTTAATAGCAAGTAGTTTCTATATAGTTCTAAAATGATTCTCTGCTTTTAACAGTGAAAGAGTTAGAAAAGTTACAGCACCGCACTGAAACTGAACTAGCAGAAGCCTTGCAGAAACGGGAGGCACTAGAGGCTGAACTACAAAATGCTCATGGAGAGTTAAAAAGTACTTTAAGACAGCTCCAGGAACTGAGAGATGTGCTACAGAAGGCTCAGTTATCATTAGAGGAAAAGTATACTGCTGTAAAGGATCTCACAGCTGAAGTCAGGTGAGTTAAATACTAAGAAATGATATCACAATTACAGATACTTCACTTTGTTACTCTTACTCCTTGGGTTATACTACAGAGTTTGTTGTTGAATTCTAGGTGTCCAAACTTCTCAACTGCCTTTGGCTCACTGTGGCTTATCCTAGGCTGCTCTTCCCATGCTCTGTCTAACTAATTCAGCTGTTGCTATTGGCTAATACTACCATCTTTGGTCTTTGGACCATTTTATATTGGTCCTCTCCTATATCCCATAGTGGTAAAAAGATGATGGGACCAGCATACAATAGTGGTTAATAGCAAAATAATAACAACAATATTGTTCTTTATATTAAGTCCTTATTTTGTGCCAGGGCTATGCCAAGGACTTCATAAATGATCTCAGTCATTTCTTTACAACAACCTGTGAGATACATACATATCATTACTTTTTATGCTTGAGAAAACTGAGGCTTGAGAAAATTAAGTAAAATGCCAAAGTCAGATAGTAGGGTCCAGAAACACAAGTCTGTCCAACTCTAAAATCTGGGTTCTTAGATTAGCAGAGATAGCATAAGATGCTATTCCAGCACATACCTATGGAGAGTAGAGGTGGAGAGCTAGACCAGAGCCAAAGTGTGGGAAATGGATTCTGAGGAGGAAAGCAGGAGTACAAACCAAGGTGTGAAATGTGTAATGAAAGACCATGATAGAGAGCAGCCAGGTGACCCAGAAACTTAGGTGTTGTATCCTATGATTCAGTTTAGGACCTGCTTTCTTTTCTACCCACAAACTCATTCTTAGTAAATTTCATGTAGCTTTAAATACCATGATACTTCCAAACCCATATCTCTAGTAATGGCCATTTCCTCCAACTCCAGACTCGTATCTAATGACTAACTTCTTATCCCCACATAAATATTTTTAAGAGGCATCTTGGCTAAAACAATTCATTGTTTTACTTATAACCCTGCCCTTTCTCAATCTCATTATTAGCAATTGCTTGAACCAGAAATCTTTAAGATTATTCTTATCTTTTTCCATCCAATCTACTAGCAAGTTATGTCAACTTTATTTCCAAAACATGTTCTGAAATCTATTGATTTCTTGGCCTTTTTTCTGTGACCACCTTAGCACAAGCCATCATCATCTTTCACCTGGTCTGTTGCTGTGGCTTCCCAGCTGGTCTGCCAGCTTAAATTCTTGATCCTCCCCACAATCCAGTCTCTACAGAATGGATTTCAATTTATGATTTAAAACATAAATCAGAGCATATTGCTTCCCTTCTTAAACCTTCTAATGGCTTCCCCAAAGATTCAGAATAATAATCAAGCTCCTTGGGAAATATAAATCAAAACCATAGTGAGATACCACTTCACACCAAGATGGCCATAGTAAAAACAAAGAAACACAAATAGAAAATAACAAATGGGAAACCAGAATGGTTACAGCCTCTGTGGAAAACAGTTTGGCAGTCCCTCAAAAAGTTAAACATAATATTAACCATATAACTCAGCAATTCCACTCCTAGGTTTGTACCCGAAAGAATTGAAAGCAGGTGTTCAAACAATAATGGTGCACAAATGTTCATAGAACCTCTATTCAATAGACACAAAGTAGAAACAACCCAAATGGCCATTGATAGTTGTGAATGAATAAACACAATGTGATATATCCAGAAAAATATTAATCAGCCATGAAAAGGAATAGAGTACTGATACTTGCTACAACATGGATGAACCTTGAAGATATAATGCTAAATGAAAGAAACCACATATATGTTGCATAATTCCATTTATATGAAATATTCAGAATTAGCAAATCCATAGAGAAAGAAAGCAGATTAACTGTTGCCAGGGAATGAGGGAAGTGAGAATAGAAAATAATTACTAATGGGTTTGGGCTCTCCATTTGGGGTGATGAAAAAAGTACTTGAAATAGACAGTGGTGATGGTTACACAACATTGTGAATGGACTTAGTGTAACCAAATTGTGCATTTTAACATTAAAATGGTAAATCTTCTGTTATATGTATTTTACCACAATTGAAAAAAAAAAAACAACCCAAGCTCCTTTTCCTGGAGTACAAAGCCCTGTATAACAAGGTTCCTGCCTACTTTTCCAGCCTCATTTCGTATTGTTCTCCTTACTTCTGCCCTTTTTATTATACTTAAAACTTACCAAGTTTTTTCCCACCTTAAGACTTTCGCCATGGCTGTTTCTTCAGCCTGAAATAACTTTTGTATGGCCAGCTTCTTCATACCCTTCGCATTACATCAGAGGGCCCTTCCCTGACCACCTATTCTAAAGTAGCCTGCTAGTCACCATCTCATCACTGTATTTAATGCTCTAACATCGTACTTTATGTTATGATAATTTTCTTGTTGAGTTTATTATTTGTGATCCATATTCTCTCCTAGACCTATGAGAATATCAACTCCATGTGATGAAGGACATCTAGCCTGTTGACTATTAAATAAATCCACCATAAATAGAACTTTGACATAGAGGAAACATCTAGTGAATATTTGTTAATCGAATGAATGGATAAAAGAAGTAAAAACAAAATCTTAAAATTATAGCTAGTAACTGAATTTTGGAAACTCAGCTGTTTGCATAGGCAGCAATTAAATCTTTAGAATTCATTTCATAGTACTTTTAGAATATTAGTTTAGCCTTGTGTTAGCTCTTCAGACTTTTCGGAGAACAGTAAACAGCTGATTAAAGAAGTTTCGAATTTGCTTTTTAAAATCAGCAGCTGTATTCAATAATGTTTCATATTTAAGACTGGAAAGTCTTATGAAGATTTTCAAGATCAACATTTTCATCCTTTGTCATATCAGAACTTAGATT